TCCAGTTTATCTACAGACACACACAAGAAAATTCACTTTTTCACTTATATAGCCAATACAGATCCAGTGTGATGTCTGAACTCAGTAATTTCAAGCAACGCTATGCTCTAATAATTAGGAAATGAATAAACAGTGCTCAGGTAAAGAGTGTTTTGAAGGAAGTGACATAGTAACAGAGGAGTTTGAGAATTTGAGATTGAGCCTAAAGTGAGATTAACAACAATAACAAGTTCTATTTGTACGGCAACGTTAACAACATGAAGCATCCCAACGCATTTAATAGGAACATTGTAAAACAAAATGTGACACCAAGCCACGTAGGGAAGTATTAGGTCAGATGACCAGAAAATTGATCAAAGAGGTAAGCTTTATTTTAAAAGAAGGCAAGCAAAATAGAGAAACAGGTATAGGGAGCAAATTTCATAGTTTGGGCTCTCGCCAGCTAAAGGCATGCGCACAAACCATCAAGCACGTTACAACACTGGCATTGTTTGGATGACCTCCAATTTATTGAGCGTAGGAAGTGGTAGAAGTGCCAGGGATGTGTTGGAATAGTCCAGTCTGGAGATAAGGCATGAATGAAGGTTTCTGCTGCTGATGAGCCCAGACAAAAGCAAAATTGAGTTATGTTGCACAGCTGGAACTATGTGGGCTTAAATATGTCACCAGTATGAGGTCAGAAGCTGACCTCAATGAAGTGTAGTATCACATTTGTGAACAGACCAGCTTAATTTCTGATTGCCAAGGTGAGGAATGGAGTCAATAGTATCATTTAATATTCACTTTGAGAATAAATTTTTTAAAAATTATTTAATTTGTCCTGTTGACATGGCATAAAACATATTTTCAAATGACCTATCTTTTACTTCGAATCAGCTGTGTCACTGAACATCCACTTGTCTAAGTGCTCATATTCCATCAACACGCAACTTTTTATGTTCAAATTTCTTATTTACCTTACCTTTCTCTGTACCTGTTGAGCTTTCTCCAGCCTTACAATTCCTCTGAAGACTCTACTCCGGCACTATTTCCCCCACTTCCTTCACCCCACTATTGACTGCTCTGCCTTCGATTTCAAGTCCCTTAACTCTAGAATTCTCTGCATGAACTTCTCCTTTTCAAAAAAAAAACTCCTTGAAATCGTCAGTTATCCTAAAGCCTGCTTTGACTCTGGCAATTTTTTGTCTGATTGTTCTTATTTAAGGCTTTGAGGTATTTTAATTACATTAAAGGTGTTATGTAAATGTTAGATGTTGTGTAAGAGTTAAACATGCAGTTTGTAAATTTCACTTTGTCTGTGAGTATTTTGTTTCAGTGAAAGCAGTTGTTGGCACAGCTGTTGATGAATGACTATGCCTGCTTACTTTAGTTGTGAACGGATGGAAAATGGTACATGGAGAAAGATCAGATTTGCCCTTTCAGTAACTGTAGCATCATGGGTTCCTATCCACCCCACCCACCAACAGCTACATTAATCAACTATCTTCCAAGCAGTTGTTAGTATGCAGTGATGTTGTCCTTAACTGGGAGCACTCCCAGCATTTCTATGAAGTCTTTATTCTGTGGAAAATGAAAAGAGTTAGAAGCAAAATGTTAGTGTGGTTGCCTGAACAAAATATATTCCACAGCATTTATCCTGTCCATAATTACTCCAAGCAGCTACCCTTATTGGATATCATATGCACTCGAGTGAAAGTCGATCTAATGCAAAAGTTGACCCCCTACTTTTGGCCAAAAAGTCTGGAATTTTCCATATATCTGATGTAAAAGTTGACTCTTGTTCTTCACAGATAACAGATCAACAATTGTTGACAGCCTCCAGTCCATTGGCCGTCCCGCTTTGCTCCGTTCCGGGCCTCCAGTCCGCTGCCCATCTTGTTCGGCTCTAGGTTTTCCAATCCAGAATTACCATAATTTGTTGTGTTTTTTTTCTTTATTCGATTAGAGATCAGTTGGGCTTCTGCTAATGATGCGGTATGAACTTTGGGCATGAATTTCAGCCCCTCAAATGGAGTATCCGTGTAATTGTCAACCCGATAAATTTAACCTTAAAGTCTAAAAAATTCAACCTTTACACGAGTATATACGGTATACAGCATGAATCATTTCTCACTATCACAGATATTAATGGCCAGATGGAGTTTGTTGTGGGAGATCATTAGTTATGTTCAACTGAAGGAGAGACTGTCCCTGCACTCTGCCCATACAAAATGACCATTCTAAGAGGTCATAGTGGCATACAGCATGGAAACAGACCCTTTGGCTCAATTTGTCCATGCCAACCAGGTTTCCTAATTGAAGTAGGCCCATTTGCCTGAATTTGGCCCGTATCCCTCTTTCCTTACCTTTCCTATCTGTGTACCTGTCTGCATGTCTTTTAAATGTTGTAATTGTACTCACTTCTACCACTTCCTCTGGCAGTTTGTTGCATGTATGCATTACCTTCTGTGTGGAAAATGTTGCCCCTCAGATCCTTTTCAAATCTTTCCCCTGTACCTTAAGCCTATGCTCTGTAATTTTGGACTCCCCTATCCTGGGGAAAAGATCTTGGTTATTCACCTTATCTATGCCCCTTGTGATTTTATAAACCTGTATAAAGTCACCCCTCAGCCTCCTGTGTTCGAGGGAAGAAAAGTCCCAGTCTGTCCAGCCTCTCCTTATAACTCAGGCCCTCCAGATTCTGTAACAGCTTCTCAGCTTTCGACACCAGTCAATGAGACTAGTTAAGTGTTTGTTTTTGACCTGCAAAGACTTCTTGGCCCGAAAGGCCTTTTTTCTATGCTGTAGACCTGTATATAACTCTAATGATTTCTTGTGAAATTAGCATATTTGTCTTGGAATTGTCCTGATTTGGGAGTTTTGTGCTTTGAATCCAACATATTTGGGACTACCCAATTAAAATTGAACTTCCAAATATTTTTTAAACATCTCATCATCACAATATGATAAGGACCTCGTTCCCATTGGAGCAGGTGGGATTTGGATCAGGATGCCTGGGTACAGGGGTAGGGATAGTAACACTGCACCTCAAGAACTGGCTTAAACCTAATCTCAGTCTTAAATATTTTTAAATAGCGTCTCCTGGTTCTAGTCTCCCTAGAAACCACCGTAGAAAGATATAAAACAGAAGGGGGCCATTTGGCCCGTCTTGTCCATGCAGACTCAAAGACATCTAGATCCCCTTTCTAATCTGATCTTCTTGCACTCGGCCCATAGCCTTACAGTGCAGATCCAGGTGGTACTTAATTAACAAAAAAGAAAGTTTAGGGGCCTCTGCCTCCACCACCTACTCAGTGGTTGGTGTCTGAGTTCCTGTCCCCAGAGAGATTCTGGATTTTCTTGGTGTGCTATTTCCAAGTTGTAGGGACCACACTTCTGATGGCATCCTGGGTCTGTCTTTTGGGTTAATGGAACATTCCTGCATTAAAAGATGATCAGATATGGTGTGTTAATTATTTTGCTACTTTTAATTACTCTTGCTAGTATGTGTGCAACTGAGCTAATTTTTTATTCACTCATGGGACATGGGTGTTGCTGGTTGGCCAGCATTTATTGCCTCCCCCTAGTTGCTCTAAGATGGTGGTGGTGATTTGCATGAACTGCAACAATCCACATGCTGTAGGTTGACCCACAATGTCCTCGGAGGGAATTCCAGAATTTTGACCCAGCAGCAGTGGAGGAACGATGATATTATTTCCAAGTCAGCATGGTGAATAGCTTGGAGGGGAACTTGCAGGTCGTGGTGTTCCCCTTGTCTTTCTAGGTGGAAGTGTTCGTGGGTTTGAAAGGTGCTATCTAAGGAGCCTTGATGGATTTCTGCAGTGCATCTTGTAGATTTCACTTCATTAACCTGATATACTCTGTGTGAGTAGTCATGTGAGTGAAGGCATTTCATCCCACCACTTAATTTGTGCAGCCTGTTGGAATTTCGTGACTGCAATGTAACTCTTAAGTAAGAGTCATAGAGATATACAGCACAGAAACACACCCTTTGGTACAATTGGTCCATGCCAACCAGATATCCTAAATAAATCTAGTCCCATTTGCCAGCATTTGGCCCATATCCCTCTCAACCCTTCCTATTCATACACCCATCCTGATGCCTTTTAAATGTTATAATTGTACCAGCCTTCACCACTTCCTCTGGCACCTCATTCCATGCACGCATCACCCTTGGTATGAAAAAGGTTGCCCCTTAGGTCCCTTTTAACTCTTTTCCCCTCTCACTTTAAACCTATGTCCTCTAGTTTTGGACTCCCCACCCTGGGGGAAGAAAGACCTTGTCTATTTCCCCAACCATGCCCGTCATGATTTTATAAACCTCTAAAGTCACTCCTCAGCCTCTGACACTCCAGGGACAATAGCCCCAGCCTATTCAGCCTCTCCTTATAGCTCAAACTCTCCAACTCCGGGAACATCATTGTGTATCTTTTCTGAACCCTTTAAGTTTCACAGCATCCTTCCTTAGCATAGACACCAGAATTGCACGCTGTATTCCAATAGTGGCCTAACCAATTCTTGAGTATCTTTGTTTATTTTGTTGATGGAGTTGATTGTCATCAATCAGGGTCATCTGTGTGACAATGAATTTGCAAGTGCTATGTAGCATTATTCACTACCGTTTGCATTCTTTTTGGAGAATAGAGAATGCCAATGGTATATGATTATAATAATGACTGAAGAAATACTGTTGGTAAAGGCACTTGAATGGTCAACAGTAATGTTTTGGGTCTACAAAAATAATACAATTGCCAGTTCTAAGAATCTTTAATGCTTGTTCTGTAACTTAAAAAATAAATCTTTGGGTTGATTGAAGTTTGAGATTTCTATTTCAAATTTGGACCATTGTAGCTCCGTTAGTAGCAGTAATTTACTTAGTATGGTTTCAATAATGCATGACTTGAGTTACTGGTTGCTTGAAGCTTCTGTTGAATTGTATCTCTAATATTAGATGTCAAATAAAGGCACACTTGATAACTTTTTTCCCTCCTTTCTCAAAGATGATGAAGGACCAGTTGTGAGCAGCGATTCAGAAACGTCACTGATTCTGGCTGTTGAAGTTGGATTTTCTGACATAGAGCTCTCCACTGACCAGGAGTGTGAGGAGGTGAAATCCTGAGAAGGGTTTATTCTGTTTCTGGATGTGGATCAGGCAAGCACACAAAATGACTGAAACGTTATCTGGCGTATTCAGAACTGGGAAGATTGTGAGAGCAATAGCGACAATCGTTTACTCTTCCTTAGACACAGATTCTTTAGCATTCAATGTCTTGTTTTCTTCATGAGGATGCTGCAAGCTTCTCTCTTGCTCTCATTCCTATATTTAAAAATGCTGTTAACAAAATTCAGTGACTGAAGTGAAGAAAATAACAATTTTTCTGTTTACGTTTTTTAATTTCAATGATGGTGAACTTTTTTTTAATGTTTGTTTTTGCGACTGACTCCAGCTTTTCCAGAGTTTGATCTTAAATTTTTTTTATTAAAAGGATTAATCCTGGAATCACTGCCTCAACACTAAAAACATTCAGTTGGTGCTTTTAAGTTATAAACTGAATTTTAAACTTGGCTCCAAGTCTTGCACATCTGTGAATCACTAGCTTTTTTTTGTGGTCAGCTTTAAGTAAAATTTATTTTGTTCAATAAAAATTCAGAGCAGCAACTTGCAGGTGCTGAAAATACTTCTAGAAATTCATCTGCCACCTCCTTAACATATCTTTGCCAATAGAAGAGCATGTAATGGTATTGTGCAGGCATACTGTGTATGTATACAATGTGCTGTGATAGTAACTTAGACAGAGTGAATGTTCCAGCAACAACCTGCTTGCACTCTTAAGAATTCATGGTAGATTGGATTGTTTGAATGTTTGTGTGTATGATTCATATTTGACATTCCTCTAAGTGGCTATTAACACACACGCGCGCGCACACACCGCTGAGAAAGTGGCCAAATAGGTTAAACCACAAGCTTTAATGGCTTTTGAGTGATTGGAAAAAAAATAATTCTAGTCTTTACAGAATTACATTACACCAACCGACCTCAGCCAAAACACGATATAATGGACTTTTCTAATATTTTATGGAATTTGAATTTCAGTTGCATATATCATCTTTCCCAGCGGTAGCTTATTGTACAGTCAAAAACATGAAAATGTATTAGAATTACAGAATTGTTATACGGAGTCTGAATAAATGACTTAAGTCATGAGATTCTACTGTGACATTTTTGTAGATAGATCTTTCCATCTTTCAAAAACAACCTTTCATGTAATAAATAAAGTTGAAAAGAATGAAAGATTCCCTAGGGAGGACATATCACAAAGCAGCAAAGGTTGTATGTTTTTGAAATTACTGTACTGTTTTTGTTCTTTAGGTAGATTGTTAACTATTTAGACATTAACATTTGCAAATAGGCAATCTTTGATAATTTTAATGATGATGAACAAATTAAAAGCCCTACTGTGCCCTTAGGACCACCAATGAATATATCACCTGATATATTATTTTGGTTTTGAAACAACACAGCCATAGGCAATGTAGATGGTTCATTGATCTAAAGATATTAGCGTTTTTGAGGTTACAGTTTGGCAGTTTAATGTTGAAAGGAAATACGTTCATGTATATAAGTCTGGGATTTGAATGGGAAGGAAGTAGAGCCCAGTAGACATTTTAGCACCATTCTGTTTGTTGCTTGAATTTGATGATAGTTGTTAAACTTGCAAAGATGGAAAATGAATTATAGAAAGGCATTTGACTGAAAATCTTATGATGATGAAATTGTCTGATATTAGCGTTTTAAAAGATGTACTTTTTCTGACTGAAACACAAGTTTAGAATTACTAAATGTTGCTGATCAAGAAAAGCATGCATGAATGCCATTGAGAAATCTTAGACCAAAGTGGAAAGGGATAGGATGTAGAATTGTAGTTCATCAATGCAAGATGGAAAGTCGTCTAAACCATTTCCTCAAGTCACATGCTTTGCTGTACAAGAGGGTTTACTGGAAACTGCACTCCTGTTAACTTTTCTCCTGACAGCAGCAAATCCAGGAAAGGTTTGAATTGCTGTTTGAGTGTTTCTTGTTGCTATAAGAAATCTCAGCTGCTCTCCTCCAGTTGCTAGCCTCTCAGAAAGATTCATCAAAGTTTTTGTGTGGTTATGTTTTACGTTTTAGTAAAATCTAGTATGCAAAATTCTTGTACCATTTTCCAGCAGTGCCGTTTTATTGTGCATTTTGCGAAGACCTGCCATGATTGGGATAACCTGATGATTAGAGGCATTGGACTCCTGTTGCTTCTCATTTACATAACTTAGCTATGAAACCATCTGTAAGATTGCCACATTTATCGATGAGACAAAATTACAAAAATCTTTAAGATGTAAAGATGCAACAAAGACTTTCAGAATGATAGAATGATTTGCAGATTATGCTAGGTTTCTCGTGTCATTGATTGTGAGGAAAATATCTAGACTGTGAGAAGATAACAATGGACTAGTCAGGAGTGCAGAAATATGTTACATTTCAAACTGGAGAATGTGCAGTAATGCATTTGGGGAGTGCAAATAAGCAAGGAAATAAAAAATGAATAGCAGCCTTCTCGAGAGTCAAGGAACAGAGAGATTTTGAAGTATATGTCTACTTCAAGGAAGGAGACAAGGCAAACAGATAGGAAGGTCAAGAAGGCATGTGAAATATATTGCTTTATTGGCCAAGCCTACAGTATAAGAGCAGAGAGCTTTTGCAAGGACGGTTTTAAGTACTAGCCAGACTACAGCTAAAGCACTGCTTTTAGATCTGCATGCTGCATTACATAAAGGTTATGAGCACATTTGAGAGGATATAGTGAAGATGTATGAGAATATTACCATGAATTCTGCGGAAAGACTGAATTGGCAAGAATTGTTTTTTATTGTAACAGAAGTTCCAAGGGGAGATTTAATTGCTCTGGGTAGAGCAAATAGGAAGGACCTATTTCATTTAACAGAAGATAATTACCAATGGGCACTCGGAGAATGATGGAACTCACTACCTGAAAGGGTGATAAAGGCACACATCTTTCACTATACTTAAAAACACACTTGGTTATGCACTCAAAGTGCTGAGAGTTACAGGGCTGTGAACCAATAGCTGGAAGGTAGATTAGACTGAATATGTCTGTCTTTTTCAGCCAGCATGGGCATGGTGCGATTACAAATTAGTATGATTTTGTTTTCACATCTGTAAACTTATTCCTGACTTAACAGATGCTCTTTTCTTGACTTTCAGAAAATGCTGGCCACCAGAATGGTAAAGCTATATTTTTTTTGAAGTGGCATCACTTGGGATAATACTGTGGCACAAAAAACATTGAAAAATTAAAGCTAACATAGAGCCATAAAGAAAGTATTAAAGAGGTAGATTCTTGAGCACTGTTTATAGCTTTACCTTACCTTCAACAAGTGTTGACCGAAGTATCATACTTAAAACAGTATTACTAATGTGCCCAAGTCCTGAACTTCAAACAGATGCCAATCCATGTTGCCTCTTCAAGCCTCCATTAAATATGGTTCCATCCACAGCACTGCATTGCTGTACCTACATTATCTTTGGATGAGGTAAACCAAATCTTCTCAACAGGACTGCATCTTAAAACATTGTTTGTTTTTAAAGGTTTCTGCAAGGATTGCCTTTATTTTCATTTCAACAGTCAATAAGAGTCTTTCCTGTTATATGGCTGTCTTGGCTAAATTTGTTGGGGACCATTGATCACTGTCTACCCATTTAAACTCCTAAGTGGCATCAATGCCAGTGAATCCCAGGGTGGCATTAGTTTTGCCTCACATTCAAGCCCTGCCTTTTGCTGATTTAAAGATGACATTATTACTAAAAGGTGGGGGTGTTGGCCTAGCAATATTATCACTAGCAACCCAGGTTTAAATCCTGCCATGGCAGAAGGTAGAATTTGAATTCAATAAAAATCTTGACATAAGGGTCAAATGATGACTCTGGAACCATTGTCTATTGTTAGAAAAAGCTATCTGGTTCATTAATGTCTTTAGGGAAGATAAGTACAACCCTTACCTGGTCTGGTTTACAGGTAACTCCAGACCCATGGCAATGTGGTTGACTCTTAACTGCGAATAAGGGTGGACAATAATTATTTGCCTAGTCAGTGACATACACATCCCATGAACAAATTGAACTTTGTGTGTGTGTCCCTAAGAAGTCCATGCTCCATGTGACTTTTTCAGTTTAGATTAGAACCCGATATCCTTTAGTATTAATTTATTTTGATAAGAGGAATGAGAAGAGACTGTATTATAAAGGGTACAATTCCAAAGCGGATGTTTGAGTAAAGCAGCCTCGGGGTATGTATGCACAAATCATTGACAGTGGTAAGGCAAGTTGTTAAAGCTGTTAATAATGAACAGGATGTTTGCCTTTACAATTAGGGACATAACTTCTTTTTTAACATCATGATAAACGTATAAGAAACTGGATTGTCCTCAACTACGATTTTGCACCCCAAAGTCCTTATTTTCACAAAGATAAGCCTTTTTGCCATGGTGCAAATGTGAAATCTAGAGGTTATGTGGTGTTTCTATCTACAGAGGCCTACTAAAAAGAAAGTTTGCATTATACTAATGTAACAATTTCTGGTAGCAAACAAGTGGAATTAGGTCACCATTCAATACAACGTTCAATACCAGATTGTTGCTATAAATGGAATGTTAACAACGCATAAGTGAGAGGAGATTGGTCTAGATTGCTATATTTGAGACCACATATGCCAAACCATTGCTGTCCAGACTTTTCAGTGCTGTTTTGCACTGTGTATATGGTTTATTTCGATTCACTCCCTTTTTAAATATCATTTTAATATCCTTTATTAAAGATGACATCATCCAGGTTTCGTAGAACATGGGTTTCTGTTTAGTAGGTCAATGGTTATGCGCTAGAGAAGGACACATTGCCTTAAGTTTAATAGATTAGTAATGGATTTATTTGTTTTTGATGCAGCTCACTATTATTAGGTATGCTGCTTTTGTCCTCCAAAACATCAGTCCAGTTGAAATATTTGTTTTGCTTTCTCAGTGCTATTTCTTCCAGTTGTTTTCATTTCTAGTAAATACTTGTTTGGTGAGTGTTAAGCCAAATGGCAAATGGATTGCATGGTGATAACAATAGAATTTCTTGTTATTTGGCATATTGTTGTATGCTGAAACTTGCAGGATAATAGGCTAAAATATTTTACAGCTGTATTAGCAGTTATAATACATTTTCCTATAGAATTTTCTTTATGTATGGTGTTGGAACTATTTTCTGTTTGAAGTGAATCATTGAAGCATAATGTTTCTTCCCCTATAATGCACTTTATTTTTTTTTAAGAAAAGCTGGCATCCAAGGATGTTACTGGGGAAAAGGGATTTGCCTGATGCAATCAATGATGAAGCATATTTCTTTTTTGGTTTGCTGTACTTTAAATTGCTTGATCATAGACTTGATGTTTGTACAAAAGGGGAGGAATTAAATTCACATGTGGAAGCATTATTCAGTAGCCTATTACTACTATTTTGTTACATAGACAAAATGTAAATATGTGCAGCTGTGTTGGTATGTACCAGGTAAAATGTTACAACAATACAAAATTTAAAAAAAGAGTCCCAATAAATTTTGATTGAACGGTTTTCTTAACAAGTGAGTTCCATTTTTTTGTGTTTTGTTTAAACTTTATTAATGACACCTTTCCATGGACTGCTTCAATGTACAAACCAAGTCTTCAAGCTATTTATTCATTGAAGGATTTTATGATTATAAAGAGGAGAAAAGGTAGTACTGAGAATTGGAACATGTATTCTCATTCAGTTTCCACATATAATAAGAATGGTAGGATAAAATGTCTTAAGATAATATACCTTTTACGAACTGGATGATTGTCCCAACTCGGGTATGCAAAGGTCCTTCACTGATGTTGGACAGGGATGGAGAGGAAAATTTGGCATATGTTAGTGCTACCCCAAGAAGCATTTTACCAGCATCTTTCTCGGTATGCAGTTATTTCTTGCATGCATCCATGTTTCCCGTCTGCCAGGAAATCCTTTTAAGCATAGTTCATTCTTGACATGAAGAACTTGATATTTCCTATACCAGATGTATCTTTTCTAGGCTGAAACCTCCCTAGTTTCTCAATTCTTCAAAAGTAAGATTCCTGCAACCAGGAATCAATAGCAAAGCTCTTGCTTGTACTGTCGCCCGTGCTTGAATTTCTCCCGAATGATTTGGTAACTAGAATGGATGTAGTATTATGAAGTACAGTCAGCATACAGCTTAATCACATCTTTTTTTGATCAGTTTCAGTTGCATCGTTTCAGCATTTTACTGATGTTGATTGCTTCAATGCAGACTAGCATCAGGTCTAGTCAGACTCTTGGCCACTTTCCATTTCACCCTTAGTTATTTCTGTGCCATTCATGGAACATATATGTAAACGTTGAAAAAAATCTTGCAGCACCTTTCAGTGTACAGCTTATTTCTGTCATGTGTGGTATTTTTCATTCTAGTGCATTAAGTTTCATTGCTGTTAATCTTCCCACTTACTAATATTGTCCAGCTCATTCTGTAGTTGCTGAGCTGCTTCCTTCAAGTTTGATCATAGTCTCCTAGCTGAGTAGCAACAGCAAATCTGACCACTTCACATCAAATTTTTATATTCCATTCATTTTTGTAACTCCTGTAATGGCTTATAAAGATCAGCTTGATCTACAGAACCGAAACAGCATGTTTTAACTGAGGCCATACATCTGATGATTGCCAGGGTGCATCTTCGAGGAGGGGACTCAACAGGTACCACTGCAAGATCTGAAGACCGAGTCATTGCTTGGGTGAAGTCTGTACTTTCAACAGCACGATTCACCCTCAGTGCGCACTAGAATGCAAGTCCTGACTTGAACCTAAAATCTCGTGATTCTAAGGTAAGCATTCTACCAACTGAGTCACAAAAGGAGTGACAACCCTCTTGACTATTTAACGTAGATAAATCAAAATTAGAGCAAACAGTTGGTAAGGGGCACTGTAACAAAAATCAAATTACAGAAGAGCCTTTAAACCCATATGTGGTTGTTTTGTGGAGAGATAATATTTCAAGGTCACCCAAGCATGTGCAAAGGACACAATAGAAACAGATACTTGGGTGCGACAAGTATGCTCCTGGATCCCTTGATGGAAATTTTTCTCTCAAGGTGGCTTCTAAGGAGCTGTCTCCATTAACACTGGTAATGGGTAGATCATATGAGAGTCTTAACCAGAGCCACTTGTCTTATGCAACAAGGCATACCTTATAATAACACTAAGTGCAGTTAATATCATTTGTTCAGGCTTAATTACAACTATCAGCAACTGAGTATACCACACCTGTCTCCATTGGGAGCTCACACAAGACTACCTATTTCTTTACCCAAAGACTGTATGTCATCATTCATCATTGTCATAAAAAGCCATCTGGTTCACCAATGGCCTTTAGGGAAAGAAATTTGCTATCCTTATCTGATCTGGCCTATGTTTGACTCCTAACTGCCCTCTGAAATAGCCCTAACAAGCAAGTCAGTCTGAGAGCAATTAGGGATGGGCTGTAGATGGTGGCCTAGCCAGTGAAGTCCACATCCTATAAATTATTTTTTTAGAAATGCTACTTCTAATTTAGTTGTTTCAGAACCATGACTTCATGTAACAGTATCACTGGAAAAGAGAAGGTTGAAAGTCATGTAACTGCTGTTTTTAGGATTCTGGAGGGTCAGTTACAATACATCATGTCGAGCTACTTAATGTTGTCCAGAACAGTTGAAACAGAGACATGGCCTGTGCTTTGGCTGGGTAAATTGAAAATTAACCTCTGGAAACTCAAACAAGGAGATGATGGAAGTAGTCAGTACTGATTTGTTCAAATTTAATAGATTCCCTTCAGAAACGAACATTCTGGGATGCAATAAATTGAGGTATGACATGGTAGATGGAAAAAAGTGGCTTTGAACCCATGGTTCCAGTGCTCTCCACAAGGATTTCTTTTGAGTAAACTGAGTTTGTTGCAGATTATTTGGTGATTAATTGTCATGATGAAACAATTAACAACTTTCCATGTGTAAATCTAGAGCATGTTGCCTAGAGATTATTTTGAAAATTGTCATTATTTCCTAGTACTTAGTCAATTACAGGAAGGATATATTTATTTTAGCAATTTAAATTGTCTTTTTTTTGTCACCCAAGCTACAAAGAGATAGTCATCGCAGCTCCAGGACATCAATGTAAAAGTTCCTCGGTAGTATCCTTGGCCTAACCATTCTCAGGTGTTTCATCATTGATCTTCCTGCCATCATAAAGGTGAGAAGTAAGGAGGTTTGCTGATGTTTGCACAATGTTCAGTGCCATTAGTGACAACTCAAACATTGCAGCAATCCATTCCGTTTGCATTGAGACCTGGACATAGCTAGACCCCCTGCCTATCAACATTGTGGGTCTACCTACAGCACGTGGACTGCAGCAGTTAATCACCATCTTCTCAAGGGCAACTAGAGATGGGAAATAAACACTGACCTACCTATAGACAAACAGTGACAATTTTCAAAACAATCTCCAGGTAATGTGCTCTACATTTACTTAAAAACTCCAGATCTCTTTTCTGTATATAAGCTAAAGCATTATCCACTGTCCACAATTGATTTTTTTTTAATTGTTAACAAGATGGAATCTAATTATTGTTCCTTGACATTCAATGGCATCACTGTTAATCTCCAGGATGTTGACAAAGGGGGATTTACCATTGAGCAAAAACTGAACTAGACTGGTTGTTTTTAAAAAAAAAAAAATGTGCTTATAGAAGCAGGTCAGAAGTTAGCAATTCAGCAATAACTTACCAACTGTCTCCCCAGTGCGTATTCACAGACTACAAGGTCACTACAAGTCACAGTCACAATGAGTGTTACAGAATACTCTTCACTTGCCTGGAGATGAGTGCGACTCCAAGAACATGTGAATCTTGATACCAGCTAGGACTAAGTAGCCTGCTTGATTGGTACCCTATACACCATCTTCAACATTCACTCCCTTCACCACCAATGCACAGTGACAATGATGTGTACCATCTACAAGATGCACTGCAGTAACTCAACATGACTTCTGATGCCCTTGTCCTTCTGGGTGGTAGATGCACGAGAGCAACAACGCCTGCAAGTTCCCCTCCAAGGTCTGTGACTATCATGACTTAGAATTACATTACTGTTCCTTCATTGTCACTGGGTCAAAATTCTGGAGCTCCCTTTCAAACAGCAGTGTGAATATCCCTACGCCCCAAGGACTGCAGCAGGTCAAGAAAACAGATTTCCCATACCTAATTGCCCTGGATGGTAATAAATGCTGGCCTACCCTGCAAAACCCATATCCTATGAATGAATAAAAAAAGGAATTGGACTTGGCAGAGCTTGGTTTTGCAGGGTATCTGTGACTACCCTTAGAGGTCCAAATGGCATTTACAACGGGTACGGACTTGGCTAAGTCAGGCTGTACGTCACACTGGTGATGGCATTAATGTGCTTACAGGAATGTCCTGCAGAAGTGCGCAGAGCAGCCAGATCATAATGTCATGTTCTGCAGCAGGAAGGACCAGGATGACCAACTCTTAGGGGGAAAATTAAGGTACACTTTGGCATCTGGGAGTTATAAAGAGCATGGTTAAGAAGTATGCAGTGGTTGTTTGCAAACTCAAAGGGAGATGAGGGTGTTTGTGATTCTATGGGAGGGACACCAGAAGGACAGACAGTGTTTAGTTGCATATTGTACATGCAAGGAATTCAATAATTGTTTCCTCTCCAGTCACGCTCTCCTATAAGCCTTGTTGAATTCGTTACTTTCACTAATTGTCCCATATTTTCCATGTCTACCATCTATGAAGGCAAACTTGGGACTTTGATGGAATGCTCTCCACTTGATTGGAGGATTGCAGCTTAAGAAACTTGACACTATCCAGGGCAAAGCAGCTCACTTGATTGGCACCACATGCAGTCCCTTCATAATAGCAGAAAAGTATGCCCACCTACAAGAGGCACTGTAGAAATTCAAGTGTCCTTAGCACGTTCAAACTGCCAACTGTTAACCATCTAGAAGGACCAGGGCAGCAAATACATAGGAACATCACCACCTGCAGATTCCTGTCCAGGCCATTTGCCATCTAACATGGAAATATATCGTCATTTCTTCAGTGTTGCTGGGTCAAAATCCTGGAACTCGCTATTGGCATTGTATGCATACACCCACACCCAGTGAGTTGGAGTGGTTCAAGAAAAGGTCATAAATCTCAATTATTTAAGTGTTTACTTAATTATCTTACCAGGTAACTTGATTAGTCATTTACCTTAAGTCACATGATTTCTTAGAAAGAGATAACAAGATGTAGAGCTGGATGAACACAGCAGGCCGTTTTGACGTAAGGCTTTAGAAGAATTAGTTTCTAACCCTTAAAACCACCTTCACTGAACTGAAAATCAAAAACACATTTCTCTCGTTTAGAGCCCAAGTTTCCAAGTATAACTATATTGTAAGCCTTCATCACAGTATGCACTAAATTGGACAGTGAATGCCTTCCTGACAGAACAGCAAGCTTGTGCTCAGTGGAATCCCTGGCAGTTCTTCAGAGTT